CCTGGGGGTGCGGAGCCTGGGGGTGCTGAGCCTAGGGGTGCGGAGCCTGGGGGTGCGGAGCTTGGGGGTGCTGAGCCTGGGGGTGCTGAGCCTGGGAGTGCTGCGTCTGAGGGTGCTGCACCTGGGGGCGCTGAGGCGTCTGGTGTACAGTCTCCCTGGAGCGACCGTCCCCGTAGTCGCTCCGCTAGTGCCTCGCCACTGCACTCTCGTAGTCGTCTCCCTCTCTCCCCACAGCAGCTGCTTGAGTGGTACGTTAGCCATCAGGGTCGAGCTGCTGGAGCAGGGGGCCCTACGGCGGGAGGCGCTGGTGTTGGAGGCACTGGAGCCGGCGCTGTCCCTGGGGGTGCGGAGCCTGGGGGTGCAGAGCCTGAGCGAGGGGAGCCTGGGAGTGCTGGGTCTGGTGGTGCTGAGCCTGAGCGTTAGGAGACTAAAGGTACTACGTCTGTGGGTGCTGAGCCTGTGCGTGAGGAGTCTGGGGGTGCTGAGTCTGGGGATGCGACGCCTGACGGTACTGCGACTACTGGTGCGCGGTCTCCTTGGAGTGGCCGCCTTTGTCCGCGTGTCCCTCTTACCTCACAGCAGCTGCATGACTGGTACGGTCGCCGTCAGGTTCGCGCTGCTGGAGCTCGGGGCTCTGCCGCTGGAGGTGCGTCTGCTGACGTCACTGGAGCTGGGAGTGGTGCTGGTACTTTGTCTACTGGAGGTGCTGGAGTTGCTGGTCCAAGAGGTGCTCGTACTGGCAGTGCTGGAGCTGCTGGGACTGGAGGTGCTGTGTCTGGGGGTGCTGCTGCTGGAGACACTGAGGCTGGAGACCCTGGGGCTGGAGGTGCCGGTTCTGGGGGTGCTGCTGCTGGAGACGCTGCGGCTGGAGACCCTGGGACTGGAGGTGCCGGTTCTGGGGGTGCTGCTGCTGGTGGAGCTGGTCCTGGAGGAGCTGGAGCTGGAGGTTCTGGAGCTACTGGGGGTGCTGGAGCTGCTGGAGGCGCTGGAGCTGCTGGTACTGGTGGCACGGCGCAGCCGAGACTGTTCTTCGCTCCGCCGTCTCCGTCGTCTCCGCCACCGCCTGACTCCGTGCTTCGCCAGGTTCTTAGCCTCCCGTCTTCTACTGGTCTTCCGTTACAGCCTGGCTCACCGCTGCCTGCTCCTTCTCCTTACACTGAGCAGCCAGGGTAACTTGCTGAGCGTCGTGAGCCTGCGTCGCGTCCTGTCTCGCCTGTTCCCACTGGTCGTACCGGTCGTCGTGTTCCTCGTCCGCGTCCGCCGGCTGTCCCCGGCACGCACCTCATTGTCCGTCGTCCGTCCTCTACTCCGCAGCGTGTTCCTCTGCCGTCTCCTCCTGCGTCCTCTCTGCCTGACGTTCCGGACCCTGAGTCTGACCTGTTTCGTGCTGAGCACCCTACTGTCACGCGTCTGTTAGCCACTGTTGTCACCGACCCGTCGTTTGAGTCTGCTGCTGCGTCTGCCTTAGTTGCTGAGCTTGTTGACTTTGCTGCTGCCTATCGTCTAGACTACGCTGCTAGTCTTGTTGCTGAGTCTGCGTCTGTCTGTCCTCCGTCCGTCGGGGGTGAGTGTGCTCTTGGCACGGACGTCCTTGAGGACAGACAGGAAGACCTTGAGTGTCTTGCGGCTGCTGCGCCTCATCTCGTGGCCATGCTGCTTGTCCCTGAGGGAGACCCGGATGCTCTAGACATCCCTACCCCGCGCTCTTACACTGAGGCGATCGCGGGTCCCTACTCCTCTCAGTGGCAGACAGCCATGGACGCAGAGATGGCATCCTGGAAGTCCAGAGGCACTTACGTTGACGAGGTTCCCCCTCCTGGGGCGAACATCGTCGATGGCATGTGGATTTTCAGGGTGAAGCGGCCGCCGGGTTCTCCGCCTGTCTTCAAGGCTCGTTACGTTGCTCGAGGCTTCAGTCAGCGACAGGGAGTTGACTTCTTCCATACCTTCTCCCCCACCCCGAAGATGACCACTTTTCGGGTGCTGCTGCACGTTGCCGCTCAGCGTGACTACGAGCTTCACTCACTGGACTTCAGCACAGCCTTCTTACAGGGTAGCCTGCACGAGGAGATCTGGCTGCGCCGCTCACCTGGCTTCACTGGGTCGTTCCCTCCTGGTACCCAGTGGAGCCTCCGGCGGCCAGTCTACGGTCTCCGTCAGGCGCCTCGTGAGTGGCACGACACACTGAGGACTACACTTGCGGCTCTTGGGTTTGCTCCTTCTACTGCTGACCCGTCGCTGTTTCTGCGCACCGACACTTCGCTGCCGCCGTTCTACATCCTCGTGTACGTTGACGACTTGGTCTTTGCCACTGCTGACACTGAGGCTCTCGCCCTGGTGAAGTCGGAGCTGCAGAAGAGACACACGTGCACAGACCTGGGTGAGCTGCGCAGCTACCTTGGCTTGCAGATCACCCGGGACAGAGCACGCCGCACCATCACTCTGACTCAGTCACACATGGTGCAGCAGGTCCTTCAGCACTTCGGCTTCACCTGGTCCTCGCCACAGTCCACTCCTCTGGCTACAGGTCACTCGCTCTCAGCTCCACCTTCGGACGAGTCCATAGAGCCGAGTGGTCCTTACCCAGAGCTAGTGGGCTGCCTCATGTACCTGATGACCTGCACTCGTCCTGACCTTGCGTACCCTCTTGGCCTTCTGGCACGCTACGTGGCTCCTGGTCGACACCGAAAGGTGCACTGGGATGCCGCGAAGAGGGTATTGCGCTACTTGTGCAGTACATCGGGCATGGGGCTCGTGCTTGGAGGGCAGAGAGACGTGGTCCTCACTGGGCACTCAGACGCTTCTTGGGTTGACGACCAGGCTACGCAGCGGTCGTCACAGGGTTACACTTTCAGTCTTGGCTTTAGTTCTGTTTCTTGGCGTTCTACTCGCTCGTCTTCTGTTCTCAGCTCCAGTTGTGAGGCTGAGATCTACACCACAGCCATGGCTGCTCAGGAGTTACGCTGGCTCACTTACCTGCTGACCGACTTGGGAGAGCGGCCTCGTTCTCCTCCAGTGCTGTACGTCGACAACAAGGCCGCCATTGCCTTGTGTGAGGAGCACAGACTGGAGCACAGAACGAAGCACATCGCTCTGCGTTACTTTCTGGCTCGAGAGTTGCAGCAGCGTGGTCAGCTTCGTCTTGCACACGTGGCCACTCAGGCCAACACTGCTGATATATTCACCAAGGCACTTCAGTCTGGTGATCATCAGCGCTTCTGTACTTTGTTGGGCCTTCGTGTAATATTAGGACAATACAACCAACCTACTATTATTTGCATTTGTCGGCCCTCAACCAATTCCTACTGAATATTACAGGTTGGCCTATGTGGTCCCTGAATTTGACCTTATCGAGAGGAAGTTTCTCAGAAATTTTCTTCCAATAACCCTGCCTTCTGATTGGTCGCAGCACACAGCAGCATGTTAGACAGGTGAGCACACTCTATGTATGTTAGTTTCACGAAGTTCGAATAGGTTGGTTGTATTGTCCTAATATTACCATGATAATATTACCCGTAATTCGCCAACTTCGTTGTGCAAAACGCTAAAAAATATTTTGGCAACTTCCTTACCCTCTTACCATGCAAATGCCTTCCTTACCATAATTCAATATTATCCCTCAAATACCCTGCCAAAATTCCCCCCTTAGGAAGGGAAAAAAAAAAAAAAAAAAAAAAAAAACCTTCCCTATTATCTCCCATGCCACTCTTACCAGGTCAAACGACAAGCCTCCAAAAAGTGCCCAACCGATTCCAACTGTTCCTAAATCCTGCAGATACCAGCCAGGAGAGGGATGTGGATTCTGAATTAGTTTAGAAGGTGAGATTAGTCTAGGAAATGAGAATTGTAGTCATAGAGTGGAGAGCAGAGTTGAGAGTTATTTTGATGGAGACGGTGGTGGGTGGGTGAGCAATGCACAGCGTAATGGCACCTTACACACACACACACACACCTTGATGTTACTTTACCAACACACATGTTGATGCTACCACACACACACCTTTATGTTGCCACACACACACTTTGGTGTTGCCACACACACACCTTGGTGTTACCACCATACCTTGGTGTTACCACCAAACTTCGATGTTACCACCACACCTCGATGCTACCACCACACCTTGATGCTGCCACCACTCCTTGATGTTACCACCACGCCTTGATGTTGCCATACACCTTGTTGTTACCACCACACCTCGATGTTATCACCACACCTTGATGTTACCACCATACCTTGATGTTGCCGCACATGGTTTGGGTGAGGGAAGATTTGATAGATGTGTTGAGGAAGATGGTGTAGTTGAGGGCAAAGGCCATGCGGCATGACATAGATGGCACACCCTGGTGGGTGGGGGAGATGGCATGGATTGCACAAAAATAGGTTAGAAGAATAGAGAGGCGTTGAGATAGATGGTTGGTTGGTTGGTTGGTTGGTTGGTTGGTTGGTTGGTTGGTTGGTTGGTTGGTTGGTTGGTTGGTTGGTTGGTTGGTTGGTTGGTTGGTTGGTTGGTTGGTTGGTTGGTTGGTTGTAATAGAAGGGTGGCATGAAATGGCATGGCACAGAATCACATGGCATCGCATGGCATGGCATGACATGGCATGGCATGGCATGGAATGGCATGGCATGGCATGGCATGGCATAGCATGTCACAGCATGCATGGTGGAAAAGAGACGCTGCCCTGACTCACCTTCCTGATTGTCATGAGTGCCTTGACTTAGCATGGCGGCATAGCAAGTTGTAATGTTTCTCCCCTCCCCCTCTCCCCACACATAAACACCGACCCTCACACATGCACCACCAACAAAAAGAAACCAATCAACCCACCAGCAAATTGGGTTGCAGCATTGCTTGGGAACTCGACAGCCAATTGAATTACCCCTGAACTTCCCCAGGTGGGGCCTTCACCTCGGTGTGTCGGAGGAGAGCAAGGGCTGGGAGCTCCTCGACATCGCCAACAACCGGGTGGTCACCACGTCGGACGTGGTGTTCTACGAAACCATGTCGCTGGAGGTGTGGAAGTCGGAGCATGGGTCGGCATCGGGGCGGACGCAGGTCCACCCGCCGACGGACACCTCGGCGGCGGCGCTCCCTCTGCTCGCCGTGGTCAGCGAGCTGGCTGATGAGGATGCTGGGGACGTCCGCCCCCTCCCCCCTTCCCCTGCCCCTCCTCCCCCTCCCTTTGTCACCGACCTGCATTGGCTGACTTCGGTGTCAGCCTCCGTCGATGAGTGGGGCGTCGCCTGTGGCGCCGGCCAAGTGCATCGCCGGTGGCCGACATGATGTCAAGCAAGTCGGCGTGGGAGTGAAGTCGACGCCGACAGGGGAGAAGCATGCAGAGGAGGAGCAGCCGACTATGGTGGAACCGGCGAAGGAGGCATCGGCAGGGAAGCTGCCGTCAGGGGACCAGCCAGCAGTGAAGCCGACCACGGTGCAGTCGGCGAGCGGGCGGTCGGCAAGGGAGCCGACGACAGGGGAGCGGTCGGCTGGGACGCCGACTGCTGTGCAGCAGAACGTCGAATGCAGCGAAGCCGGTGAAGATGGAGGGGAGCAGTTGGGCGACGAGGAGTCCACCGACAGTGACGTGGTGGAGGTTCAGCCTAGACCTCGGCGTTCAGGCCAAGCTAGGAGGCCGCCGGACTTTCTGTCCTACCATGCGTGCGTGCCGCTGGCTGCCTGCACCACGCTTTACGACAATGACTACGACGACTTGGCGTACGACGCCGCCGAGGATGACGTCGACCTGTTGGAGCTCGACCGCGACGTGCACGCCGACCCCGAGCACCGCTGGGACATCGCGAAGATAACGGTGAAGCATGCGTTGGGAAGCCAGAAGGGCAAGGCGGTGAAGGCCGCCATGGACGAGGAGATCCGCAGCCTCATCGCCAACGGCACGTGGGAGTTGATGGAACGGCCGCGCGGCATCAACATCATGAAGAACTGTTGGGTGCTGATGACCAAGTACTACGTCGACGACACCGTCGAGCGCAAAAAGGCGAGGCTAGTCGTGAAGGGCTTCACGCAGGTGTATGGCACCGACTATGACAAGACGTACACCGCTACGACACGCTTAAAAAAATCCTCAGCATCGTCGCCATCCTCGACCTCAACCTGATGCAGCTCGACATGAAGAACGCCTTCCTGCAGAGCAAGCTTGACCGGGTGCTGTACATGTACCAGCCGGACTACTACAACGACGGGACCCATCGGGTGTGCAAGCTGCTGAAGAGCCTGTACGAGCTGAAGCAGTCGCCGCTGCTGTGGTACTTGGCACTCGGCGCTGCTGTTGGAAGAAGAGCCAGGTCGAACGAGGTGTTATACTTCAAGTTCGGCGACGATGGAGTGGCCTGCTAAGTGCTAGTCTACGTCGACGACCTGCTCGCCGCTAGCCGCAACACCGCGATGCTGAAGGAGCTGAAGGAGCTGCTAGAGGCCGCCTTCGAGCTGCGCGAGATCTCGCCAGCGGAGAAGTACCTCGGGCTGGAGATCGTGCGCGACAGGCCGGCGAGGAAGCTGTGGCTGCACCAGCAGGGCTACGCCGACAAGCTGCGCAGGCGGTTCATCGACGAGGAGCAAACCGGGTCCACCCCGAAGACGCCGGTCTCCATCGGCGCCTACGCCGAGCAGAAAGAGGAGGAGGAGTACCGGCAGAAGGTCGGCTCGCTACAATTCACGACGATGACGATGAGGCCAGACATCGCCTGTGCCTGTAGCAAGCTGGGGAGCGGCCTCACAGTGAGGAGCGACCAGCACTGGCGCGAGGTCGACCGCTGCCTCGCCTACCTCACCAACACTCGTGACACCACCCTGGAGTTCCGCGGTAGGCTAGAGATGCTGGAGCTAGTCGGCTACGTGGACGCCGACGACGCCAGTGACAAGCAAAACCGGACGAGCACCATCAGCTACGTGTTCGTCTACGGAGGGGCCGCAGTCTCCTGGTCGAGCCAGCGCATCAAGTGCGCGACGTTGTCGTCGACCGAGTCGGAGTACGTGGTGGCAACCGAGGTTGGCAAGGAGGGACGCCGCCTTTGCTTCCTCCTCGCAGAGTTCCGGCAATTGGATGTCGGGACGCCGACTGTTCTTTGGGTATACAGCAAGTCGGCCATCACGATCGCCGAGGGCATGGGGCTGACGGGCAACCTCAAGCACATGGAGCGGCGATACGCCTTGCTGTAGCATATAGTGAAGCACAGGATGTTTTCGCTGCAGTACATCCCGACTACCTAGCAGCTGGTTGACTTCCTGACGAAGGCGCTGCACTATCCGGCCTTCAACCGGTGCTCCATCGCAATCGGCCAAGTGCGTCTGGCCGACGTCGACGACTGTGACAACGACGTGCAGCAGTAGGTGCCGTGCCCTTCTGCACGGCTGGTGCGGTGACTAGCGTGCTGTGTGCTGGGTGTACGCTGACGGGCTATTCTCCGAGTAGTGCTGCCGTGTGGGCTGGGGGGCCCAAGCGTGAACGCGGTAGGGGAGTGTCAACGGGAGTTGTTGTTGGCCCCGTCCTCGCTTGGGCGGAGCCGACTTCGTGGTCGGATGTGCGGGGTGTGCAGCCGACCTGCTGCAGTGGGCGACGCCGACTTGGCGGGCTGGTCAACCGGGTGTGGTCGACCTGGATGGGGCCACTGCGTAGCCGCCGATGACTGGAGACCGGTGGACGTGGTCGACGAAAGAAGGCGCCGACGTTGACGATGATGGGAGGCCGGGCTGGAAGGCGCCGAGGTGCGGGTGGTCGACCTGGCGAGGTGGACTCAGGAGGCGTCAACTTCCCGGTGCCGACTTTGGGGACGCCGACTTGGAGACGGCGACCGGAACGTGGTCGACGACCTGGGTGGTCGACGAGCGCGAGGAGAAGGTGATGCTCGACGGGGTTGCCCGGTCGACCAAGTTATCCGGGCGACGTGTGCGACTGTCGCCGAGGTGGTTTTGTGAAGCCGACCTCGGAGGTGGTATCCCGAGGTCGACGTGGCTGGTGGGCGCAGTAGCTGGCGTGGTATCTGCGCTGTGTGCGTGACGGGGCTGGGCACACCAACCAACTTCGCGCACCTGCGAAGCAAGTGCACCATGGTCCTGCTGGTGTAACGCTGTGCAGCCGACTTGCTGCAGCGTTGGCACACCATGGACTTGCAACGTTGGCAAGTCACTTCTCTGCAGAGCTGGAGTGGTGCGAGATTTGCTACGCTGGAACGCGGTCGAGCGTGCTGCGCTGGAGGTCGACCAACGTGCTAGCTAGCTCTGATGTAGTCTTTGCATGCTAATATTGTTGCTATCATTCTGAACCATTGTTGTCAACTTTTCCTAGTGAAACTCTTGCCAATTTTCCCCGTGAACAAGTAAGTGGTGTGTGCATAAGGAAACGACTAAGCAATGCAGAGGTCACTCCTACCCCGTTCCTAGCCCGTTGTCTACACTATCCGTTCTGACAAAGTTTGCGCTATTGGACGCCGACCGTTCTTTGGGTAGACAACAAGTCGGCCATCACGATCGCCGAGAGCATGGGGCTGACGGGCAACCTCAAGCACATGGAGCGGCGATACGCCTGGCTGCAGCATATAGTGAAGCGCGGGATGTTTTTGCTGCAGTACATCCTGACTACCGAGCAGCTGGTTGACTTCCTGACGAAGGCGCTGCACTATCCGGCCTACACTATCCGTTCTGACGAAGTTTGTGCTAGGTTGGGTTCGGACTACACTTCGGCCCGAACCACATTCCGAGTGCCCCGCACCAATCGCGACACATCCAACCCTCGCACGTCACGAGGTTCTCGCCTAGCAAGTTTTCGCCCTATATTTGCTCGCATTCCTCATTGTTTCCTCATCCTGTAATCACTTCCGCTTTATAGTATTCTTCCGCGCACTCTTATAGTACAACCCATAATAGTTTCGTTAGAGACAACTTGTAAGGAATTGTAATTCCTAACTGTATTTGCACTTTAGCGAGTATATCCCGAGGGTCACGCGAGGAACCTGTTCGGCCTATTTCTTCGCACCGAACCACTCCCGAGTCGCATCCGCACCAATCGCAACACATCACCGAGCCATCTTCGCCCTACCTCTTTGCTTAGCTAGGACTTCCCCTATTAAATCGTGCCATTCTCATTGTATCGTCATTCCGTAATCAACATTCTCGTTATTCGTTTTACTGCGCACTCTGCAAGTTCATTCATAACACCTGGTATCAGAGCTACTTTCCTAGCCTACCCCGCTTTTTAGAGTGTATGCCCCTCAGGGGTGGGGGAGGGGACGAGAAAGGATGTCTTGGGGTCCAGGAGTTGCGTAGGCCGGCCAAGAGAACGGGTTAGTTGCTCTTCGCGGCCATGGATTTATAGTACACTCCTCGGCAGCGCCGGATCCTTGCCTCGAACGGTCGCGATCGACCGTGACCTCCCTCCCCCCGGGCAATGGGCAGCAGTAGCTGTCGCGACGTAGAGTGAGTAATTTCCGTTGCGATTTCTCGACGATTTCGGAGGTTTATTCATGTGGCAGCTAGCGTCAGCGGACCTACGTTGGCATCTGCATGAACGGCCTCGACTTCGTCAGCATGTTTGGCTGTTGGTGCCGGCGGACCTGCGTCAACAGTTACGCGAAGATTTCGGGAAGATCTTCGGCACCTGGCGACAACGGGCCTGCGTCAGCATGGGCGACAATTTCGGAGCTTCTGGAGAAAATGACAGCTGGGGGAACTCGCCAGGAGCAAATGAAGTTTTTGCGTCCGAAAATGTCGCTGGTGAGGAGAGACGATACGAGGACTGCCCGACTTAGCCGGGGTCAACTTCTGTCCCGCCCGTTTGAAATAAAGTAGCTTTTACTGCATCGCGGGCGCGTCAACAAAGATTTCGGTAGGAGAGCACGTGGACAGACAGGAACTTTGGACCCACCGACACTTACGGGCTGCAACGAAAAGCGGAGTGGCCATATCGCACTTAAGAAGAAGTGGGGCACAGGCGACAAGGGAAACCGGGGCTGGTAACCTTGGAAACGACTCGTACGACACTGCGTGTCTGAAGTTGTTTCAAGCTGGCCGGCAGTTTCGAGAGCGGTTTCTCCTACCAGGGAAGACGTTTTCGGGGAGTGTTGCAAGCGACCCACGATACAGGACGCCGGGACACACGGGAAGAAAATACCCGACGACTAAGTGGGGGTTGAAGAACGTCGTAGGGAGCAGATTAAAAGCCGGTGGAACCGATCTGCAGCCCTATTTCGCCCGAACCTCACCATCCCCACCGATTACTGGTTCCGACTCATGCAGTCGACCTTATTCGGATGAATAATGGGAGCGAACACATGCCTACCCTGTGCAGGTTATAGGCACCTGGATGGGTGCTCGTTCGACATATGTACAGAAAAGACAAAAAAAATGGAGCTCGCGGCAATGTTTTACTCCGACAAAAGCGGGCTCGGTGAGTGGCACGTGAAAAAGTCGGGGAGCTGCAAAGACAAAATGGTTGCAGTCTACAAATTTCTCCTAGCCCGGGCGTCTACACAAGTTGACGGCGCAACGGTACAGCTGGGACCCGGAAGCTGTGGGGTTTTAATGGCGTGACGGGCACGGTGGGCTGCAAAGCGGTTGGGTGAAGTTCCTTTTAACTAAGGCTACCCCGACTTCGATAGTCTTTTCTCCTCCACCGTGGCCGGGTTTTCGCGCGGGCAACACCAACTATATCCCATCCGACAAAAGCGGACGATGGGTGAACGGCGAGAAGCGGAATTGTCGGGGGGTGAAACGACAAAGAATTATGAAGCTGAGGGTGTTTCTTCGCATCTTGGAGTGCGGTTGAGCCTTTGGGGGACTTCGACTGATAGGCACTTTTCGAAGTTGCCTGGCAAGAAACACAGCGGCAAGGATTCCTAGGACCCCCAGTGTTTAAAGGCACACCTCGGGAAGTTCTTCAAAAAAATGGAGTGTTGGAGTGTTCGTAGCTTCGGGGACTTCTCGGCTGGCGACGAGCGATGGGTGAAACATCTGCAAAGCGCCGGTGGGAGAACAAATTATTTTGTTAAGCATCATTCGCGTGAGCAGTTTCGACGATGGGATAGACGGCGTTGATGCCACTAGGTTCCGTGAAATTCGGTCTCGGAAGAGCCCAACACAGTCCTCGGTTCTTGATTGAACCCACATGCTGGGGTCGGGTGACCGATGGAAACTGATTGTGACCAAGTGGGCGGCTATAGTACGTCCGAGATTTTCGGAGGCGAACTGCACCTGCAACTGCGGATTTACAGGGGTGTTTCCGACCGACATTTACAGAGTTTTACTCGTGACTTAGCAGGTTTCAAGGCGAGGAGCGCCGACGTTTTCGTGCGATTTCTTGGAGTTTGGTTAAACGCGCACGTTAACAACGTGAGGCAACAGCGCGGGAACTACATGGACTTTTTCAGGGGCACGAATGACTTATGACGAACCAGAGGTGGCAGCAGCAACAGTGGAAGGGGGGAGAGACAGCTGTAATAAATCTTTCATCTCTGCCCAGGAGTCATCCACAAAACACGACAAAGTGTTCGGCGAGTCTGGACAGAACCACCGGAGGAGCTGACGTCATCTGATATCGAGGACGAGTTTGATATTTTCGAGTGAAGAGGTTTTTGACCAAGGTTACTTCTGCATCGACCGTTGCCGATTCTCGCAATCAACTTCGCTGCCAATAGTATTTTTCGCCATCGTTTTCGTAACACTCCTGTTTTCACGGCCAGAGGATTTCGGGATACGACCAACCAACTCAACAAGCAACACCATCGCAACTCGCCTCCGCCCATGACAAACGATTTGATTATGCCCACGTCAGGTGCTGCCAGCTGCAACTGCTGAATATATCGTCTAATTCTGGCGATGTGAAGACAAAAATGTTGAGTTCAAGTACTCGACAATTTTCAGTTCTGTTTCTAGGCTACGACTTCAGGTTCGCCCTCGAAGATTTTGGAGCACGTACTACCTTGGTTTCGTCATCGATTTTCTACACCGACGACATTTCGCCTGGACTTCTTCGCTCAACGCTCGTTTCCAGCGGGACTTAGCACCCAGTTTTGTTGGCTTTCATCTTGGCGCAGCTGTGAGAAATTGTCTGGCGTGTTTTCTTGGAGGGGGGGAGAAAGTGCGCTGCACTGTTCTTTCCTTGGCGTTTTCTCTGAATGATTCTGACTTTGTTAGGATGCAGCAGCACGACGGACGACTGCTATCGC